GTTTTGTTTAAAATACTACTAATAAGGGAAACTAAATCTTGCTACTGAACACATTACAGTCCTCATCTTCATAAAATTGTTGCTGAAATGAAATATTCAAAAACAAGAAAGCCTTTCAGCCTATTTCTAATCTCAACGCACATTTTCAGGCAATAGGGTTGATTTACAAAAGGAGCAAAGACTGTTTTCTCACTTGGTAAAGTGAATGTTCACTGAATGTTTGTAAATATGGTGACACTGTGTTCATTTAATTCATGAAATAATGTCCAAAATCCTGTATTTTTATATCTCCTGCACATGGTTGGGTATTCAAAGTGAACACAGCTTCAGCTCAACTGCATTTCTGACAAGATCAACAGGTTAAAAGATGGGGTCACGTCGGGTAAATAGACACCAAACATGTCAAGCATTAAAATTGCGCGCACCCCCGAAATAGCAAAAAAAAAAACCACATGTGCAGGGAGAACATGCAAACTCCATACAGATAGTGTGCTGACCAGGATTAAAACTGTGGACCACCAGAACTGCAAGGGAGAAGTGTTAACCACTAAGCCACTGTGCTGACCAGTTCCTGATATGTATTGGAAGTCGCAGGCCTTTGTTCATAACAAAAATGTTGTCTAGGTAAAAAACTGAAATATTACTTTTCTAGATGTCAACAAATGGAGATTTCAAACAGAATGCATTACAAGTCCAAAATATGGCCCAAAAATAGATTCTAAGACTAGGTGGAGGGTTACATAAGGAATGCCATCTAGCTTTTGGTCACGCTGTAATTATACATCATTTTCACAACAAACTTGTTTGTATAAGCTACACTAGTTGTTCTGAACTCCCAATATAACTAAAGGAACACAAGCCATGGTATCTAATTTTCGGTCAAGGTTTAATTTTTCATTATTTCCACAATAAGCTTGTTTGTATCAGCTACATTAGGTGATTTTCACTTGCAATATAATACAAGGTTATCAGACTGGAGAAACTGGCAGTCAAAACACCTCTAAAAATAATAATAAAAAATAATGCTAATAATAATTTAAAAAAAAGAATTGGCTTTCCTTTGCAAAATTGCATATTCAAAATGAAGAAAATGTCATCCAAAAAGTTCAAGAATTTAGGGGAAATGTTAATTCTGTCAGATAAAATAAACTAATTTGTTTTTACCGTTTATATATGAATTGTAATGTTTCAGTCTCCAAGCAATGGCGAATCAGAAAAGGCAATAATGAAATTTACTTTGTGTTCAGAAAATATACCTTGAGGTAGAGTAAAATGAACTTTCTATCATCTAATTGCCACTCTTTACTAGGCAACATCTAATAATCTGTTCTTTCAGGAAGCTGACAGATCTATAAATAAATAAACGGATGTAAAGCAACAGGCCAAAAAAAAGAGAAAGAAACACTCGCATAACAAAGAGGTGGAAAATAACACTGTCTTAGTAACTGGTCTGTTGGAGGGTAGCACAATTTATTTTCACACCAACGAAATGTAAAACATTGAATGACACAACCGTGGCATAAAAAAGAGCATGCTTGGCGACACAGAATATGCCAGAATTTTGTTTGCATCGCACAGTGACACTTAAAGCAGACATTTACCACCTTTGACTAAAAATCACAGCAGCATGCAGCTCTGCATGCTAATATGAAATCATCTTTCATTCATTAGCTAAACAAATATAGTTTTGATTTACTTACAAGTTCTTGTTTTCTACTTCCTGTTCCTCTCAGGCATTAGTGATGTAATGTACCCAAGTGTTACATCTTGGGAAGGTTACATCAGCATAGAATTCCTGGGAAATCTCATCTGTAATCTCATGAGATCTCAGGGAAAGGCATTAAACTTCTTGACAATGCTGCGCACAGTGGACGCAGGAACATTAAGATATCTGGAGATGGACTTGTAACCTTACGATTGTCCATGCTTTACCCCAAAAACGTGGAATGCAGTTATTTCTGGCAATTTGGAGAAGGTGCCAATAATTTTGTCCAGTCCATTTTTGGAGTTTTGCATAGAATGTGTCATGTTTGGCTTTTTTTTCTCCACTTTTTTGTGTCATACCAATACAAACAAAAGAAATAAACATGAGAATGCCTAAACATTTGTAATTGCAACACTTTCTGCGCAAAGTGGTGCATTATCTGACAGAAGTGCAGGGGTGCCAATATTTTTTGACTGTATATAAATTACTTATAACCACCATCACTGCCTGATACTGCTGTGATATGCACATCTTGTCATACCTTGATGCACTTGGAGAAAAAGGCAATTATTTTAAGCCAACCATGGAACTATTGCTTTGCACAGTGCTCTTATTCTTCGCTCCTGAACAAGTTTACAGAAGAGAGGAGGTGGATACCCATATTAGTGTGCTGTCGTGTCCAGACTAAGGCTGGGCTAACACCTGGGCGTAGCATTGGCGCGTTTTTTTAGCACGTTTTTCCTTTCAGTGAAACGTGCGTTTCACTGGCGGTATGATTTTTTTTTTCCTTTATTATTTTTCTCTATTTTTTTTTTTTAACTTTTAAACTTCCCGCCGGCTCCACCCCCCTGCGACGCGGCCGCTCGCAAGGGACGGAACCCAGAAGTCGGCAGCCACCGGAGGACACAGCGGGGATCGCGGACAAGGTAAGTCCTACGCTGTATTCATGTGTGGCTCGGGGTTACCGCTTTGTTAACCCCGAGCCACACTCGGGAATACCAATGAAAACGCCCCAAAGAAGCTCCTATACTTGCTTGGGCGTATGGCGTTTTTGAGCGCGTTTCCACAGGCTGAAAAACGCCCAGGTGTGAACCCAGCCTAAGACTAAGTTTACTTTGAATGCCCTGTTTCATGTTACATCTATACTTATGGTGTAATATGAAACATGGCCATCCCCACCCCTATCACTCCCAGAGAGGCTCACTCTGCAGGCTTCACCGTGGCAGGGAGACTCTTGTACTTCTCAATGGTGTCTATTACTGAAAGGGGTGAAGAGCATCTCAACAAAACCGTGTCCTACAAAGGTCTTTTGCAAAGCACTAAGAAACACTGACAAGCCTGGCCTAAAGCAAATGAGGCTCAGATGGGCTTAAACAGCCACACACACCAGCCCCCAATTCTCTCTCTGTCCTCTGGTGATCCAAATACATCAGTGACTCCGGCATTACAGAGGGTATCCAGAGAGAAAGTCCAAACAGTTACAAAATACTTTTTCATAAGTGGTATCAAGGTGCACAATCAATATTTGTAATTAATAACCTTTTCCTGAAAACGAGTTGACCTCTAAGCTGATACCAAAATAAAAAAAGAACTATAACAGACAGTGAAGCATTTTACATTAAAATAGTTAGACTGGTGTCTTCCAATGCATATATCAAGTCCATAAGACACACACAACCAGTGACTGGGTTTTCGGTCGGCAGGAGAGAAGAAAATGCCGGTTACTTCATACTACAGATAAGGAGGACCAAGTTTCCCACTCCCTATCCTCTCATGTGATAGCGCTGAGGCTTAAAAGGAGAACTATGGGGTTCTATCTTTTCTTGATTAATGCATTCCTTAGGCTAAATAAGTAAATTATGTAATTTACTCAAATTAGCCAAAATGCACAGTAAGGCTGTAAACCCTTATTTAAGGTGGTGGGCGGGGCTAAGCGCCGCAATGAGGAGACATCCCGACGTGTCTGACGGGATCCTCCCCGCTGATCTTCCTCACTGTGACTGACAGTGAATCTTGAGAGCTGCTGCGCGTCCACAAATATATGGACATGCGCAGCAGCTCTCTCCTTACCTGCACGTCCCCGTGTGCCAGCCGGGCTCCTTCCCCCCTCTCTCTCTCCCTGCCCTGTGTCACACTGACATAATAAAAAGATCGTGGATCGCTGATGACAGAGGGGAAAGAGCCCTCTCTCTCTTCAGCATTTACTACAAATGGGAACGTCCATATATGGTAAATTATGTCACTGGAGATCCCTGCAGATCGGATGCTTGCCAGTCTGCAGGGATCCCCAGTTTACCATATATGGACTTTCCCATTTGTAGTAAATGCTGAAGAGAGAGAGAGGGCTCCTTCCCCCCTCTCATCAGCGATCCCCAGTGAATTGAGGATGTCAGCATCACACAGGGCAGGGAGAGAGAGAGAGGGGAAGGAGCCTTCTCTCTCTCTTCATCATTTACCACATATGGGCAAGTCCATATATGATGAATGATGTCACTGGGGATCCCTGCTGATCGGATGCTTGCCAGTCTGCAGGAATATCCAGTGACATCATTCACCATATATGGACTTGCCCATTTCTGGTAAATGATGGAGAGAGGGATGGCTCTTTATCCTCTCTCTCTCCCCCTGTGTTATGCTGACATCCTAATTACTGGGGATCGCTGATGAGAGAGGGGAAAGAGCACTGAATGTGCAGGGAGGCTGAGTCCGTCTCTTGCTGCTGGTAAGGGGTATTTTTATTTGCCCTTAAGTCATAGTTCTCCTTTAATGACTGTCCAGTAATATCATATGGGGGTGAAGAGACAGCTCTGTGTGGGCTTGAGTTAGAGCTACCAACACAGGGTCCTTTCCTTGAGCTGAATAGAGTAATAGGTAAGCTAAGTGCTGCTGGGAAGGTTAGTATTTACGCAAACCTATTGCTGTTTTTCTCATCCCCCAGTTTGCCAGTAAGGCCACCTCACGATCTGCTGCAAATAGGTAAATGGAGATAGCATAGAGGAGTGGAGATACATCCCAACTATCCCTCATTTGGAACCAAATCCTTCTGCCAATTTCCTCCTCAGTTGTCTCTCTTTTTGGTTTGATGTACACGATAGAGTGACAACAGTTCCTGTAGTCCCTGTTTCCTGCTAGAAAGGACATATGATTTCTGGGGTACCAGGACAGTGTCTAACCAAAAAAAGTGGCCACATGTTTGCATTAAGCATTTTGATACACACATGAAAAAGAAGAAAATTAGCACCACTAAGGCAGAAGCAAGGAAACAAATAAAACAATTTTAGTAAGTGCAGAATACCTGTCTGAAAGCTTCTTTGCAAATCCAAAATCTGTTAGCTTGATGTGACCTTCTCGGTCAAGCAATATATTTTCAGGCTTCAAGTCTCTGTAAACAATTTCTTTGGAGTGCAAGTATTCTATTGCACAAATAATTTCTGTGGAGTAAAACAGTCCTGTGCTGTTGTTAAAACGTCCCATGTTACGCAAGTAGCTAAAGAGTTCTCCTCCAGGTACGTACTCCATTAGCATATATAAGAACCGATCGTCATGCGAGGTCCAAAACCTGAATGAATAGAAATGGCACTTTTAAAAGTCATAAAGTCCAAAAAATAATATAACATAAAAGAAGGCATTCTACATAAAATGTACATTTTGGTTTTCAGAATGAAAGAAACGTATTCCTATGATACCCAACCAGATGTCAATGCAGCTCAGCACTATATGTGAGTAAATTACAGTGAAAATATCAGTTGTTTTTTTTTTTTAAACAATAGATTTGTATTAAGAGATAGGTCAGCAATAGATGACAAACAATAGTCACAACAAGAGATATTATAAAAATTGTACAAAAAACTTTCAAAGCAGACATATCAGTTGGGAAAATCATATCTATATAAATGCACGATAAGTATTCTAAATTCCCAATAAAGTACATGTTATGTTGCTTTAGATAGGTATGGGCCATCTATGTAGACCCTTTAAATCAACAATATAGTCAAAACCCAGAAAGAAAGAAATCGAGAAGTGGAGAGAAATGGGAAAGAGTATCGGTCAGCGCAATTCCGTGCGACCAGTGAAAGAAAAAAAAAGAGTCAGGATGGAGTAGACAGAAACCAGTTCTTTTTTGACTTTTGAAAAATTAGTAGAGACCACAAATGGGCTGTGCTATTACCTTAGCCAGAAATCTTCCACAGTGAAGCTCTCTTAAATTAGTCTGAAATAACCTCCTTGAAGGCCGAGAACTACTAACTGCAACTTTCCTGTCCTATAAGAATGCTGTTATGGTGGCATCTGCTGGACTTTGAAGCAGGTTCTGTGCTTCATCAGCTTCAGAGGGGTCCACAGGTGACATTAGGGGTTTAATGGAACCCTGGTGTCTCCATAAAGAGGACCTGTCATTTCCTCTGTGTTTTTACATAGATCTTAGCCCCCCATGTGATAATAAAGTGTAAAAAAAAAATACTTTCCGCTTTAAGTTCTGAATCTATAATTTAGCAGTTTTAAAATGTCCAGGTAAAGAAAATGTTTTACAAACCAGGACAATTCAAAGGGAGCACATTATGCAAAGATGTATAAGCAGAAGCCTTTTCGGTGAATACTGCATGTCAAAATGATAAGTAGATCCTGAGATTTAGACAGCTAAAGTTATATTTGATTCTTGACTTTTCCTATAAAAGTCAGGCTTTGCCCTAACCCCTCACACCCCTCTTATGTTTAAGTTAGATGGGTAGCTTTACTTACAAATATAAAGGCTTTGGAGGTTGTGTTAGGGGGGTTGGCGATGGCTGGGCTTTACTTTTGCAGAAAGACAAAAATTACATATAACCTGAGCTGATTTTATTATGTGCTTAGTTTTAATTATCCAGGTCTACATCAACCTCTCCTAACCTCATCACCTGGAGACGACGGAGCATGGAGCCGGTTTGCCGGCCAATCAGGAAGCCGAGCGCTGTGTAATGACTTGTCGTCTGGCTAACTGACTGGTCGAGAAGCTGGCTAAGCAGGAAATCAATCAGACAGCGAGTCATTACCCGCCCCCCGGCTTCCTGATTGGCCAGAAAGCCAGCTCCATGCTGCCTCGTCACCTAGTGACGAGGCAGCATGGAGACAGCTTCCCTGATAATCAGGAAGCCAGATGGTGAGTCATTACACCCGCCTGGCTTCCTTAATGGGACTTGCGATATCAGTATTCGGTATTGGCGAGCACCGAATAGAACATATCGGTACTTGTACTCGATACCAAAAAAACGGTATCGGTGCATTCCTATTAAGTGCTCATCTTTGTCTAAGTGCTAAAAAAAAGTTAGACTCAACCAAAACTCAGAGCCGGCTGGATGCTCTGGTCTCCGAAGCCTGTCTACTCCTCTGCTGCAGCGATGGTATGTCCCTCAGAATCCTCACATCCTATACACAGTGTATAGGACGTGATGACTCAAGGATTGTTAGACCTCTGCAGCGGAGGGAGAGAGCAGCTCCAGGGATTGGTCTAAGAACAAGCCAGCTCCGAAGTTCGTTTTTTTAGCACCTAGACAAAAAGCAGCACTCAACCCTTGCAGTGCAGGGGTAGCCCCACTGCTCAGGGTTTTGCCCAGAGTTCTGCTTTAAGGTTTACATATACTTCAATTATACCCAATTTACAATTAGGACATTACAGCCCTCTGATGATCTTCACCCAAATAAATTAAAAACAAAAAAAAAGTATACTACATGTAGTACAGTATATGATTCTTTATGAAAGTTAAAGAGATGCCTGCTAGAAATATCACCAGCCAGTACCGAAACAATCTGTTATATAATTGTAAAATAATATCCCCCCCCCAAAACACAATGTACTGGATACATAATTCTGTTTCTCAGTGTCCAGTGACATAGGCATGAAAATGTGCTGTGCACGTCTTTATTACACAGTATCCAGTAATCTACAGGATTAATCATCTTGTCCTGTAAGCCTCGATGTATCCACTGCCTCTGGCAACACAAAAGGTCAAATTTATGACACTTGTGCCACTGCCCAAAAGCTTGGTGACATGTTGCATAACAACGTGCTATTGTGATGCATGCTGCTCTGGAATTTGATGAGGATAAAATAATGTGCCATCTGTATAATAGAAAATATCCTGCAGCGAATACTACACTATACAAAGCGCGGTCTAATGTCACTCGATGCAGCAAAAAGGACTTTTAGTCTAAATTATTAACATGTTATTAGTTTTATTGTTACATGAGAAAATAATGTAGCACCCTTGGCATTACAGAAGGCTATGTTATAAATTAAAAATAAGTAGAGTATGCCGGTTTTCAAACACAAATTACATTTAAAAAAAAGTTTTTCAAGCCATCCATGAGTGCTACAAATGTGATTTCTGTGATCTAAAAGGCCACAACCTGCAATGGCTGGATTTGATTACATGTTTAGTCCACTCAAAATTAGTTGTTTAGTTTTGGTAAGATCCTAGAAGGGTTTGATCACTTTCATGTTGTTAAATTGTAAATAAACCCAAGAATAGTGAAAACATACCCTAATCTGAGATTTAGGGACAGCATACCCTAATCTCAGATTTAGGGACAGCATACCCTAATCTCAGATTTAGGGACATAAAAGGGATTTATTTGTAAAACTAGTTCCCCAAGATCCCTATACTCCTCAGCACCATCTAGGGGCCCTAGTGCTGTGTGAATGGCTTCTGCCGTTTTATAAATGAAGCCCTTACAGTGTATTTGACGGCTGCCCTTGTAGCCCTGACTGGATACTGCAGTCGATTAAGTCCCCTTCACTGGAACACCCAGGAAGAATAGTGTATTATAGTAGGTTTATTGTTTACCCCATGCACCAGTCGAGGCAAGGCATGGAGTAATGCTGAGAGAGCGAGCTTTATTGAACCAACACACCGTTTTTATATTGTACAAAATCTGATAAGAGCATAATGACTTTATGACCCCCAGACAACATGGCGCCACAGCTCAGTCCCATGTAACTGCATGTCCCTAGTCCACAGAACCAAAACAAATTTAGGGTACTTCCCAGGGAAACGTTGGGGATCCCAAGGTACCGTTTGGTAGCTCTAAGCACCTGGGTGTTACAGTTCAATAAGCAATGTGATCAGTGGACACTGGTTCAAGTGACAGCAGTTCAGAGTTTCTAGCCAATGTGCATGTGGTACCTGGGATGTGCGTTCAGGAACTCCTGCTGGATGTTCCCAAGGCAGGGTTGGGATGCAATTCACCCCTCACATCCCTCCCACCCCTACATCTATCTTCCCCCTTACATTCCTAGGGTATTTGGATATGGAAGCAATGTAGGTCTAAGTTCAGCAGCAACCATCTCGGTCTGCAGCCATGATACAGTTCCACACGGTCTTGCCGGGGACCCAGCTAGGGGCAGCAGGTTTTTCTTCTTCTTCCTGAACTACGGGAAAAGTTCATGGTCCAGTACTACTCAGCTCTTTTCAGATATTGTAGCCCAGAAGGAAGGGTGATAACTTAGTAATCCAGACCAGAGTAAAACGCCAACTCCAGTAATTCATTGTGAAACCGGTCTTTTGGTGAAATGGTGTTAATTTACAAGTCCCAACACCCCCATTCCTGCGACAGTGTATCTAAACCAAAACCTCTCCTCTTCTACAGAACATAGGTGGGGGTGTTTTTTTAGTCCACAGAGAAAGTTTATAACAGTACTAACGGATAGGACTGAAGCACAAGCAGAGAGCACAGGAAGTTATTAGCTCACAAGATTTTTGTCAGGATCAACAGGAATTGTTTTGCACGTATCGATACATCAAAACCCTTTCAGTTTTATATAGAACAGATTAAAAGGAAACAAATAAAAGAAGTTCATTGTTAGAGTTTAGATACACTTTAAAGGATAACTAAACCCACAACCCAATTTTTTAGGACTACGAATATTTACAGAAAGTACAGAGAATACTTGCTGATCTTGCTAGAAATGAAGTGTCCTTGTCGCTTCCTGTGAGATGATTTTAAAGCACAGACATCTTATCTTACTTCTGTAAACTTATTATCTTCCTATCCCCCATATAATGAAGATGAGGAAAGGCAGACATGTTTAAAGTCCAGCCAAGATGACAACCATGAATTCCTCTATAGATACAGTGGAGAAGTGAGTATAGCCACCCAGGGACAGCAAGTGTGTTATTACAGGATTACCAGGTGAAAATGAAGATAGACTGTAAAGGTCCCTGAATATGATGATAGCATATACCCCACCCACCGCATGCCGGTTTTCCACAAATACCCATACAAAATCCAACAGGAGTTGGGCAACATCATTGTGCAAATATTATTGAGGTTGGTTGCCGCATTATTATGGCACTGTTGGCATAGCTTGTACTGTTTGCATTACAAAAAAAAGCTTTTTAGGAGCAAAAGGAAGACTGCAACTTTAGTTTTAGGGCCCAATTATGCTACATTTACATATTTTTGTGGTTTATAATACTTAATAATATAACACTATTCTATGTTACATATGGCAAATCATTTACAATTGCCTTTACCGGCTCAACACTATGCTGTAAAAGCCTCTATTCACACTAGTCATGCGTTTGAACGCGCACAAAATTGCACATGTGCGTGTAATATGCTTGTGGTGCCATTATTTGGTAATGGTACCCAAAACACAGAAAGTAATTTCGTTGTGTGCTTCTTAACACATCACAGGCTCTCAAAAGCATACAGTGAAAAAACACCCCAAACTTGCAGCTCATTCTGCTGCATGAGCTTTTTTTCCGAGTTTGTCACATGTAGGGCAGTCCATTGAAATGAATGGGCTGTCCTATGCTGATGCGCGACAAATGTGAAAAAAATTGCTGTATACTCACATGCACAGCTAATGTGAATGGGGGCTAAATATTTATTTTCTTGCACTGCATGCTCACTAGATTGTGAGTGTGTCCTTCACAACCGTCTAAGAGCTCGCTCACACCTAGTGCGTTAAGCTGCATTGATTCCATTTGACCAACACAGGTTCCATGCAAGTAAAAGCAACTCCTGTGCTGAAATTTGTCTAATTAAATTTGTCTAATTACTACCCGACCCCAGCTTGCATTTGCATTTACTGTATGTTCTGTTTGTCGCATGACTATTGACCTTGTTCCTGTCTGACCATGCATCCCGTCTTCTGGTTCCTTTACTACGTTCTGATATTGCCTACCTTTTCCCCTGCAAGATGATCCCCATGACCTGCATCCATGAACCTGTTTCCTGCTGAATCTCTGAAAAGCTCCTACCAGCTCAGCACTTTACTTCTGTTCAGAAGAGCCTCTATCAGGAGTTAATTCTGGTGTTATCTGGTGGCATTGTGCCCCTGAAAATCCAGGTAAACTGAACATCGCTGTCTGTGATATGGAGGGTTCAACTAGCTCTTTGACAACATACTCAAAATAATATTGAGAGCCCAGGTACTCCATAAAAACCTGAGGGGTCTGTAAGTGTCATCACTAATCACTAAAATGCAGCTTCCAAGGGTAAGGGAAGAAAAGTATCCATGGGTAAGAAGAGAAAAGACAAAGCTGGGAAATCCAGAGGGTAGGTCCCACAGCCAAACAGATAAAATATCAAATAAGCGAGGACATGGTTTAACCACTAAGCACCCACCTCCAAACCAAAATATCCCTGAGTTAATTTAGTGCAGTTTATTGCCCTTAACTATGTTTAGATAACAACCTTATAAATGTTTTAGCTGATTACTGAAGTAGTTAAAATGATTATAAACCAAGACATGGTAACGTCAGATAAAAAATAACAGCAAATAAGATACTGCAATGAAAACAAGATACTATACCAAAGGTCATGTATAACAAAATGTCACAGTGGAGCTCTTCATAAAATAGTCTATTGCAATAAAATGCCAAAGTAGGTGAAAATAGTCCAATCTAATCATAACAAATGCCATGGAAAATAAAGATGAGTAAAATAAGAGCAGCAGGAAAAATAACAAAAAAAAACATAAATATTTTTAATACTTACAGTTTGACTAGAAATGGATGGTTCACCTCTTTTAAAACGGATTTCTCGTTGTGTACATGCTGTTCTTGTTTTAGACGAATGACATCGGGAATGCTCATTACTTTTAGTGCAAAATAGTTCTTTGCCGTTTTCTCTTTTACTAAGTGGACCCTCCCGAATGTCCCAGTTCCTGCATAGAAAAAGTAACAGTTACAATAAAAACGCTGTCCTTTTTTTTTTTTTCTTATTGTTCTAATGGTGGATATATTGATGACATTTCCAAAATGAACAGCGCCATTCGGACAACACCCCCGTCCTTTCCTGTCTTGCTAGTTGCTAGTGAAAACCAAGTTTTACATTGATCTACAAAGACTTTTTGGACACCAAGCATTGTTTATTGCGCACATTCTTTTCCTGACTGAATATTATGCTTTTGTCTTATTGATCCTTATTTTTGGAGGCAAAGCTAGGAATTGAAGTTGAACGCCAGACAAAACTTTTTTTATTAAGTTTTGAAGGGACAGAATGTCCATTGGGTTTTAAATGATTTCTATGTCCCCACTGAATTTTCTAAGATTTGAATTGCTGTCTTTATGCACTCATAGAGGAGACTGCTCTTCACTTCCTTTTTAACCATCACCTGGATAGGAAGTGAGAGGAAATCTCCCTGAAGATAGGAAGCGAGAGGAAATCTCCCTTAAGAAAGAAACCAATAAAATCCTGACAAAGAAAGAAACAACGTCACAAACTGATTTTTTGAGAAAACACAGTCAAAGTCAATGTATAAAGCACAGATCCTGAAGCACCGGGAACAATCCAAAGTCCAATTGAAACAAGTACTGTACCAAATAAAACAAGGCACATGAGCTAAGTAACAAAGTATATCTTTCAATAAATAAATAAAATGCACTGGCAAAGAGAGTGAAGTATACCAGCCTGTCATGAAACATGGAAAGACGAGGGAGCATGGAGCCTGCTTCCTGGCCAATCAGGAAGCTGGGCAGCATGTAATGACTTGAGGCTTCCTGATAACGGAAGTTCGGGTATCGGGCTAGGCATCAGAGTATTTGGGCAAGTACGAGTACTCGTCCAAATACTCGGTGTCGGCACAGATACTGGTATCGCTATCGTGCATCCCTACTTCAAACTATCATTTGTAGTATAGAATGAATGTTCCTGATGTCACTGGATGCCAGAACTTTTATTCCCTGTTTTATTCCCTGGAGCCGGAACTTTTATAGAAGACACTGACTTTTTCAGATTACAGTCTAATTTCATTGAATGGGTCAAGATTTGTATGGCTCCGCTTAAAATCTTTTAAAGAGCAAAAGATTTCAGATCAACCAAGAACTAGACAGGAGTCCTAAGCATTCTGTGTGCTGCGAATAGGAGTACTACTGTGCAACCCATACCATGTATACCCATGTAGGGTAAAAAAAAAAAAAGAAAAAATGTATAACATTGAATGTGATTTTCGTTTACAAACTTCTTTCATTCCAAAATCTAATGTTCAATAAGAACGAAAATTAAAGGACATTTTGAACGACAATCGGCAAGTTTCTCATGCCGGTATTGAATGTTCCAACGGGATGTTTCGTATGAACGTTCATTCGAAATTCTAACAGTGTATACCCTACTTTAGTCATTGTTATACATAAGCTACAAACTGGTCAAAGAAAAAAAAAAAAAAACAGCTTATATACGTATATATATATACATCTTTTCCTTGCAAAAGGTTGGCTTCACGCTTTCTAAAACAATTCACGTGATAGAGGAATTTTGTACCTTTTCAGACTTAATAATTCCTTACAACAAATTTAGAGACTGAAGCTATGTTCATGTTATGTGTGGTGCCCTGAGTTTTTCTGCACAAGAAAAATGGACGTTCCCGCACATAGCGTGAACATAGAACACATTTGTAGACATGCTGCATTTTCCTACAGTGCACAGGATGGCACCGCAGCGCACCACACCAGGGCCTGAATGGAGTGTGCAGTTTGTGCACTCCAAATAAAGTTTAAAAAAAAGAAAGAAAAAAAAAAGTAAATAGCACATCAGACCGCATTCTGTCATTCAACCGCCCGTCCTCCATTCACAGAACGCTTTGCATTGTATTTGAGAACGAATACTATCGGGGTACTGCAAAAAGAGTGTAATTGAGACACATAAGAAAAGTGTCTCAGGGTTACAGGAATAGAGTTGCTATTTGCGCCAAATTCATGTACAAGGCTGCATAACATTCATGAATTTGGTGCAAACCTATGAAACTGACTTGCATGACAAACTTTGGGACAGACACTGTATATGCACACTGATAAAATACATAGATATGTCCCATCGTGTCCAAAGTATCACATATGTGTCAGACACATTTCACTTGGATCCTCAGTTTCAAGGAATGTCACACCTGAGGTATGTGTCACATACTGTGACAGTCATATACAATATGAACATCCCAGACTAGTGACACCAAAAAGTACTTGGTCACTTTTCTTATTACTGGACTGTCAGAGTTTATTCATTAAATATTTCACAAGCACAGCGCCAGAATGAAATATGATGCAAAAAAATAACTACTTGAATTTGGTGCAGCAGTCGGCACAGTCCCGGGAAATGGTGCAGCATGTTTGAGAATTTGGCGCAGACATTTCTTAGGCTGCATTAGCACCAGAATTCTAGCGCAAACACGATACTGAATTCCTCTGCATGAGTTCTCTGAATGGGTGAGTGAGGGGGAACGGGAGGGCGTTGTAGCCTGGAGGGAAGATTGCTATAGTAATCTGCAGCCAGCAGGACATGGGAGACACTTCACTAGAGGTAAGTTATGTCCTTGCTGCTGTATTCACTACATTTTTAACTAAACTAAAAATTTAAGTCTTGGCATCAATCAGCACAAACAATTTTTCTCAACAGCCACCAATTAGACTCCATCACTTTACGAGGCAAATATTAGTCTTAGAAAAAATAATAGTTAATACTGACACTTTGATGCACAAGGCCTTTCTGTCTATCATAGTATTCCTATTTCTATCCAAAACAATCCACTCTGTTGAAAGAAGAACTCCAGGCACAAGTTGTATTAACCCTTGCAGTGGGGCTACAACCGCACTGCAAGGGTTAACTGCTCGTTTAAAAAAAAAAAAAAAAAGTTATCTTAGCCCAATCCCCTGTGTCGGCTGGCTTTGACAGCCCTCCCTCCAGCCTGTCTCTTCTTCCGCTGCAGCAATGGTATGTCCCTCAGGGTCATCACTTCCAATACACTGTGATGACCTTAGACTGCTGCAGTGGAGGGGGAAGGGGTGGAATGGACCAGTCTAACTGACCGGTTTAAATTTTACGGTATCTATTTCTTGCACTTTAGTGTATAATACACGGATTGTAAACACATACAGATCCTACACTTAATAGGGATTAGAGCGCAGCATGTTTTGTATACGATTTAATTGCTTCCATCTGGTATTCAGATTTAGTGCTTGCAGCTGTGGCGGAGTGATGAGCGCAAAGCTGTTTCTTTAGTACATGTTCAGATACTAGTATCTGTATCGGTGCCGATACTTGGCATTTTCACAAGAACTACCAGGGTCATAGCAGTTGCAGCTGCGACTGGGACTTTTCGCTCCACCACTGTCCTCAAATCATTAGTCTGCATTGTTTCAGAAAAACCATCACGACACTACAAAAAAAAGGTATCAGTATATGGTATCTGTGAGTACTTGGACAAGTGCTTGGTCTGGAAAAACTGGTATTGGTGCATCCCTAATATCTATCTATCTATCTATCTATCTATCTATCTATCTATCTATCTATCTATCTATCTATCTATCTATCTATCTATCTAATCATACATTAAAACATTGATGCTCAAATCCCAGGAGCCCCATAGCCAATGCTCCTTACAAAATGACAACTGTCTCCTAATTTTTGAGTTTTTCTCTAGTCTAGTCTTGCAGATGGAGAACTATCAGTACTTGTACAGTACTTGTACAGTACTTGGCATTTGTGCATCCCTAAATACTGTACATGCATATTGTTTCTTTTATGAAGTCTGCATGTATTTATTTATGAATTTCCCTTTAAGAGAAGGGCATTGTAGAATAAATATTTATGTCTTTAATAAAGATGACGGCAGACTATCCATTTCTTTATCATTACTTGATATTCTCTTTCACAGCACATGTAAGAGAGGACTTTGAGGTTAGGTTAAACAGAAGCGCTCCCCGGGGGTGAGACACATTTTGATGTGATTTTGGACTATTAATAGAAAGAAATGTATGGCTATTTTTGCAAGTGCTGTCACAAACCCTTACATTTACCACTCGGTGTAAAAAGGTGTCATGTCCTCCTTGGATCGTCCTCCTTCGATCAGAACATTAGTATAAACATAAGCTCTGTTAGGATAAACATAAACAGTCTTCAAATTCATTTTCTACTTTACTCATTACTACTCATTTACATTTATAAAAGGAAAGGCATTGAAGCTTGGAGATAGCCTTCAAATGAACCTGTGTTCAGCTTATGCTCATGGCGGAATTTACATATTCTGAACAAGCAGTAAAAGCATTATAAAAACAAGCCCCCATTCATCTCTGTATAGATAGGAATTGTGCAAAAGATCATTTTCAAAGTTCACAACACAGGCAATTAAATATTTTTTTCTAGATTTTGGCAACCTGCTAGCCTCCCAATGTAAACACACAGCCCAGAGTGAAGGTCCCCCCATTTAATTTTCTGCTGTTATGAATGAGTGCTCCGGTCCATTCATAAACTGAGCAGATAGTATCAGTTACTATGTCCACAATCATGAATAAACTAGAAGTGATGTAGAGCACTTCCTGTTCATAACTGGGGACACAGTAAGCATACTATGTCCTCAGATATTTACAAACACCAAGCGATAATTTCTGAGTGCTTGTAATCCGCTGTCCATCCTGACTCGCCTGTCACAGGAGCCCGAGCAGTGAGGCAGGAGAGCTCGGCCTCCTGTGACAGCTGTCTCCTCCCACTCCGCCCTTCTCGACATCCTGAGAGCTGTTTCCTCCCTCACCTCCCCACTGGAACCTTCTGAAAGCTTCTCTCCTAACCTCTGAGCACCGTTTGCTGTATCCTCTGTGTCCCCTCGGAATCCCGTTGCCTCTGTCAGGATGTGTAAGGGATCGGCGTATTGCGTTCCATCTGGAACGCACCGCCAGA